ATTGTCATCTCAAAGTGGAGGATGTTGAAGCTGAACACAGGTTAAATGACTTATAAGATAGCCAGTAAATGTTTTGTGAAACATTGCCATTCCCTCCCAGGTCTCTAATACAAAGCTTATGATACCTACTGTTAATAAACTAAATTTTTGAAGCTGTACAATCCCTGAGAAATTTTAGTAAGATATAAAACATAGTGGATATGCTGAAGTTGTTTGGGTATGTTAGCTTGCTCCTGGAACTTGCATGTCCTACATTCAATATTAATACTTCTCTCTTTTATACTAATCTTCAACTCAAATTTGTGTTTGCCCTAGTAATTCCTATATCAATGAGTTTTGCTTTTATGGAAAATATATTGTACAGAAAATTTTTCAACAAGCTACAGAGCAATATACATAGTATTATCCCACATGTGTGAAATAAACAATATAGATATTTGAGAGATAATTATCTTGACTATGCATAGACAGTGTCTGGAAAGATATAAAAGAAACACCTGAGTGTGACTGTGCAAGCCAGGATCAGAGGAGTGTATGCCTTTCTGTTTTGTTTGTATGTTTTTTCCTTTGTTTCTCTCCAATCTTTTCACATCCTCACCTTTGCCTTTGTTTTCCCCTCACTACCCCCACCCTTTTTTTAAAAAGTAGCCTGGTATCTCTTCCTACATCTTTCTTCAAGCTTACAGAAATGTATATATACACACAGGGAACTTTGGGGTCATTATTTTTATAGAGTTACAGTATAAATAGCTCCCTGGAATTTTTCCCACTGTGGACATATGTTTCTGCAAGTAGATGTAGTTTCTTTTATAATAGGTGTGTACTATGCACACCATAATGTAATGGATTCCTTAATGGTAGAAGTTGTGGGGTTTTTTTGTTTGTTTTTTTGGTGTTTTTTTTAAAATAACAAATAATATTGCAGTGAATATCCATATACATTTATCTGTGTGCATTTGTGCAATACATCTGTAGGATATGAATCAGGATTTATGTATTAAACATTTTTATTGATACTGCTGTTGTTGTAGATAGCACTTCAGCAATGTGCAGTTAGGATCCAAATCCTGGTCTAAATACCATTCTTCAGAAGGACCTTTCTAGAATGGCTGGTCCCAGGTCTGTGGCAGGTCAAGGATAAAGTCAGCCTAGAATACCTTGTGCCAAAAGAACAAGGAAGTTCTCAAAAACTAATAAGGTCTTGTCAAAAGGATATGATATGGAATATTATTCAGCCATAAGAAGAAAACAAATCCTACCATTTGCAACAACATGGATGGAGCTAGAGGGTATTATGTTCAGTGAAATCAGCCAGGCAAAGAAAGACAAGTACCAAATGATTTCACTCATATGTGGAGTATAAGAACAAAGAAAAACTGAAGGAACAAAACAGCAGCAGAATCACAGAATCCAAGAATGGATTAACAGTTACCAAAGGGAAAGGAACTGGGCAGGAGGGGTGGGAAGGGAGGGATAAGGGCAGGGAAAAAGAAAGGGGGCCTTACGATTAGCATGTATAATGTGGAGGGGCATAGGGAGGGATGTGCAACACAGAGAAGACAAATAGTCTACAGTATTTTACTACACTGATGGACAGTGACTGTAATGGGGTTTGTGGGGGGGGACTTGGTGAAAGGGGGAGTCTAGTAACCATAATGTTTTTCATGTAATTATAGATTAATGATAAAAAAATGAATAAAAAATACATTTAAAAAGGATATGAAGAGCCAGCTGGAAAAGGCTGTACTGGCCACATGTGGGACAGTTTGAAAATCAAGTGAATAGTTGAAATTATACTACATTCTAGTTTTAAAAATGAGTGAGTCTCTAGTGATGCTAAAAAAATGTGGTAGAGAGATGAAAGCTCTCCTTTGAAGAAGAATACTAACTAATAACTGTAGAAGGAACGACATTATCATAAAACATTCACCATTTCACAACCCCAGTGTAATATGCAAAATTAAGTTCTGGCATGGATCATCATTGATGTAAAAATACTAGGTGAATGTCCTGATGTAATGTGCTCTTTTGTCGAACTGTTCACATGGTGCTGCAGATTACTTGCTGTGGATAAAGTGAAGGTTCCTGTGGCCAGGATTCTCACCTGGCCCTGGTTGGCTGGCTCACTACATTGGTGTGGGCAGTACGTTATTACTGACTCTATATAAAGAGCTCCACCCAGTGCTCTGGGTGACATGGTGGCACAGTTGCAAGGCTGCAGGAGAGCAGACAAGACTGGAATGGTGGCAGTTCCAAGGACAGAGGCTGAGATTGGCTGCAGGGTAGAGAGGCTCAGAGGCAGAGCCCGGCTTGCTGCATGCAGACTCGCTCTGAGTGGACAGGATTCTAGTGACTGACCTGCCACCATGGGAATAAAGTAGGGTATAACCCTTTCACCCCAAGAACATTCCACTGTCATTTCTTTGGTCTCATTGAATCCATAGTGAACTTGTCTGGGGCTGAAACCCATTGGCAAGACACTTGCCAATCACTAAGGGAAAAAATAGGTAACTTTACACTAGAGAAATGTTACTACTACTTAAACAAAATAATTGAACCCAGCATGACTAATGGTTAGGCGTCCTGACATAATGTGCTCTTCTGTTGAATGCAGTAAGTACCCAATTCATATAAGGAGTATTCTTTTACAAAATGTTTCACCTGAACATAATCAGCCCCATGATTATCTGCGGGATTATCCCCTGTAGTTAAAATTGTAGATGATTCTACAGTATGGCTTTAGGAAAGTTATGTTAGTAACTTCTCTGAGTCTCAGAGCCCTCCTTAGTAAAGAACAGTGATATAAAAATCAGATAAATATGTGAAAATAACCTGAATATACTTGTTTAGTTTGTATAGTTTGTTTATAACCTAAAAATAGTTTGGTATATATAGTAAGAATTTACCATATTGGTTTATCACTGCTGACAGAATCTATTCGGGGCCACCAAATATATAGCTGAATGAAAACAACATTTCTGTTTTCCAAAAGTCATTATCTTTTCTGTGTAATTTGATGGCATGTTTTATGAATTTCCTACACCTGCTTAGATCCATAAGCTAATGAAGCTTGGAA